TTGTTTTAAAGTCTATTTTGTCTGATGTGAGTATTGCTACCCCAGGTTTTTGTGTTCATTTGTTTGCTTCTATTTGCATGAAATATCTTCTTCCATCTCTTTACTATCAGTCTGTGTGTGTCTTTCAATCTGAAGTGAGTCTCTTGTAGGCAGCATATTTAAGGGTTTTGTTTTCTTATCCATTCAGCTACCCTGTGTCTTTTGATGAGAGCATTTAATCCATTTACATATAATTGTTGATATATATGTAGTTATTGCCATTTTATTCATATTTTTTATTTCTTCTTCTCTTCCTCCTCCTCCTCCGCCTCCTCCTCCTTCTCCTCCTCTTTCTTCTTCAAGAAGTCCCTTTAACATTTCTTGTAATACTTGTTTGGTGGTGATGAATTCCTTTAGCTTTTCCTTGTCTGAGAAGCTCTTTAAATGTCCTTTGACTCTAAATGACAACTTTGCTGGGTACAGTAATCTTAGTTGTAGGTCCTTGCTTTTCTTCACTTTAAATATTTCGTGCCTTTAAATATTTCGTGCCAATCCTTTCTGGCCTGCATGTTGAGAAATCAGCTGATAGTCTTATGGGAGCTCCCCTACAGGTAACTAACTGCCTTTCTCTTGATGTTTTTAAGATTCACTTTGTCTTTAACCTTTTGCATTTTAATTATGATATATCTTGGTGTGGGCCTCTTTAGGTTCATCTTGTTTGGGACTCTCTATGCCTCCTGGACTTATATGTCTATTTCCTTCATCAGGTTAGGGAAGTTTTCATCATTATTTCTTCAAATAAGTTCCTAACCCCTTGCTCTCTCTCTTCCTTTTCTGGTACCTTTATGATGCAAATGTTGGTACACTTGTTGTTGTCCAAGAGGTCCCTTAAACTAATTTTTTTAGAATTCTTTTTTCTTTTTGCTGTTCTGATTGGGTGTTTTCTGCTACTTTCTTTTCCAAATAGGTGATTTAGCCCTCTTCCTCATCTAATTTGCTGTTGATTCCCTCTAATGTATTTTTCATTACAACTGTTGCAGTCTTTATTTCTGAATGGTTCTTTTTCATGGTTTCTATGTCCTTTTTTTGGCTTACTATGTCTCTGTTGAAGTTCTCACTAAGTTACTTAAGCATCCTTATAACCAGTATTTTGAACTCTGTCTTTTGTAGGTTGGTTGCCTCCATTTCATTTAGTTCTTTTTCTGGAGTGTTTTCCTGTATTTTTATTTGGGACAAGTTTCTTTGTTTCCTCATTTTGGCTGTCTCTCTGTGTTTGCTTCTGTGTATTAGGTAGATCTGTTATATCTTGCAGTCTTGGCCTTATGTAGGTATCCCATGGGGCCCAGTGGCACCCAGTGGCACAGTCTCCTTGCTCACCTGCACTGGGTGCTCCAGGAGTGTCCCTTGTATGGGTTATGTGTGCCCTCCTGCTAGTTGAGCCCTGATTGCTGTGGCACGTCAGTGGTTGGGATTGACCTTCAGGCTGACTGACTGTGAGGTTTGGCCATGTCCACACACAGCGTATGGGCTGCTGTATTGGGGGCTTACCACATGAAGCAGGATTTGCCCCAGCAGGCTCTCGTTCCTATTGAGATGCCCTTTGGGTGTGCCATCTCTGGGGCTAATTAGGTGGCTCTGTGCTGGGGTCTGAAGCCAACCTTCAAGTATGTTGATGCTGGGGCCTCTTGGGAGGCGCTCCTGTGCAGGCCCACATCAGCCACTGCCTATGACTGGTTGGAGACTACCTGGTAGGAGCTACCATGTGATCTACAGTTGGTTGCTGCCTTTGCTAAACCTGGAGGCATGTGGGAAAGGCCACACTACAAACTGAGGATGGCAGCCACCAGTACCGGGTCTGGGGTAGCTCCATAAAAAACCAGGACACACAGAGGCCTGCTGCTGGTTGCCAGCCCCCTTCAGCTGCTAACGAAGCCTCCTGCAGAGTTGGGTGTGGCAGGGTCTCAGTAAGTCACTAGGGTGGAGCAAATGAAGCTCACCAGACCAATTCAGATTCAGATTTGGCTATGGGCATGGGGGAAGGCTCAACACAGGAAAGATGGCATCCATTTGCCAGTTGCACAGGAAGAGGACCCCTCACAGGGAAAATGGCGACTATTTTTCAGCTTTTACCTGAAGCCGCACACCTCAATTTTCCCCCCATATGTCTCCTATGCCCCCCCCAAATCACTGTCCTTCCACTGAAGCCTAGGGTGAGTGCCTATGAGCAAGTCTGTGTGGGCCTTTTAAGAGGACGTCTGGGTTTCTTGCAGTCTTCTGTTTCACCCACATGGTTGGGATCCCCACTGTTTTTCACAGCCAGATGTTGTGGGGTCTCCTCTTCTTGTCACCAGTACACCATGCTGGGAGTCTGTTGTGGGGCTGGGGTACCTTGCTCCTCTGTGGGGAACCTCTTTGGCCAAAATATTCCTCCCAATTTTCATCCTCCACGCAGAGGTTTGGGGCCAGCCCATTTTGCATCTCTGCCTCTCCTACCAGTCTCGATGTAACTTCTTCTTTGTATCCTTAGTTATAAAACCTGTTCAGCTAGACTTCAGATGGCTCTCCAGATTGATTGTTCTATACTTTAGAACACAATTTTGATGTGTTCGTGGGATGAGGCAATCACACAGCGTTTATCTACTCTGCCATCTTGGATCTCTGCAAAGAGTTCATAGTGAGCACAAGGCTAGAACTAATTAGAACTAAAACTTGTTTCTAGAACCCTGAAGTTTCTTGCTTGGCTTTATTCTGTGTTGACTGAAGCTAGTTGTTGCAAAACATCACTTATGTATCATGACCTAAGATGGATGGGATCATTAAGCCCTTAGCCCAGCAGCTTGAGTCTATGCAGTGTCCTGGGGCCCCGGCTCCACTTCACGGAGCACTCAGGGCAGCCACAAGTTTAAAAGAAGGAGGATGCTGGGCTCATGGGGCACACCCTGAGTCACTTCCTCTCTCACACTGCCTGCGTCTTCCTTACTGCCGCTACCCACAGAATGGAGTGGAAAGTGCTCAACACTCAGTACTCCTGGGAGACAGATGCATATGCCTGACTGGAGGCCCCAGCCTCCTTATAAGCTTATCACCCAGTCTCCCAATATGCCTAACACTGCAATGCCATCCCATAAGCGAAGTCTGAAAATATGGTTAAGTTTAGATATAATTTTAAGTTGGTGAAATTATTGTTAAGTCCAGAGTATCATTTTAAGCCTCACCAGATATCATCAGATCCTCTTCCTGAAGGAAGGTTTTGAGCAAGACAGAGCAGAAGGTACTAGCTGTATACAGAGCAGGGGAGGGATGACTTGAAGCTGTTATCTTGGAACGGGAAAAGGGGCTAGGCTAAGAAGAGAAGGCAGGGACCTCAAAGACACTCCATTTACTTTTCAGGGCAGGTATTGAGTGACTGCTGGCTCCATGAGCTGGCCTGGGTTTAAAGAGGCTTCTTTTTAAATTGTCTCTTGTCATGTGATAACCCAGTTTCTGAAATCTTCTAAGCAAGCCATGGAGAGCCTGGAGTCATCAGCAGGATGCATTATGGACTAGGGCAGTTGAGACAGTGTAGACACTCCTCTGCCTGAAATGATTAATACCATCCAAGCGAAATCTTAGAAAGTTGATCACTAACCCCAAACTTCAATACCTTGAGGACCAGCCCCCAAGGTCCCATTCACAGTGGCCTGTGCATCATTTGTTTCCCTACCAGATGGAAAGCAGGTGTTGTCCTCTTCTCTTTGCATCCCCTCTTGAGCACCATAATAAGTTCTAAGGCACATAAATCTCCTAAATGGAAAAGTAAACATTCTTCCTTTTTAAAAAATGAGGAAAGGGGGGAAAAAAATGTGTCAGATTTTCCTGGCCTGTATTTCTTTTCTACTTTATCAGATCAAAATAAATTCATATCAGCAATAGCCTCCCTGGTATTTCCTATTTTCAATAATACTGGGTTGAAACACACTTCACCCTTTTTATGGGACAAATAGATTTTAGTTATTCTGCTCCTGATCTTACTCTCATGCTCTCTTTTCCTTCCTGGATGATTTAAGTAACAGCAAAAGACAGCCGTTGCCAACTCTGGAAACATTTCTGGCTGCATTCCTTTTCCTCCCTCAAAACCCAGGCTCTTGTCAAAACCTTAATTCATGCTGAGTTATTAGCAACCAGACCAAGTTGCAGAATGAAATCCATTATGAAGAAACCCAGCTTCGCTTGGAATCTGAGAAGCAGCTTCTCGGAAAGGGCCTCATTTTCTAGAACCGGCATCAGCAGAATTCAGAGGGTCAGGGGAGGAGTTGTCTCAGCCTTCCCTCTTTTTTTTCTTCTCCAGGTTTGGTGTAGGGAGAAGGCTGTGCCCATTTCCTATTTTACTTCTTTCTCTGCCTGTGAAACTGAATTTTGCATTCTTGGGAGCTGTGTCATGACAAGTCCCGTAAATGATTCGCACTGAAGTGACCTTTAAAGAGCAGGGTAGAAATCAGCTGGATTTCAGGAGCCCAGAGCTGTCCTGAAGCCAAAACTTCCTGTTCGTTTGTTTTCAGCTGGAGCTCACTATTACCTCGCTGGCTGCAGTCCTGATCATGTGATTTGGTGGTGATTTTAATCAGCAAGCCAATGCTGGCAATATTTATGTATGCTAGTGTGTAAATTAAACCTTGGAGATTATTATAAAATCTTCTGAAAATGAAAATGAGATTAATAGGCAATTTAAAGGATTGTTGGAAGGGGTAGGTGTTGTAAAGAGAGAACCTGGTTTATTTCAACTTAATAGTTTTTTTTTTTATTATTATTACTATTTCCTGTTCTATGTTTGATTGTAGCATTTAGTGCCACCAAAAGGAATTCACTTAGCCCAAGAAATAATTTAACCTAGCTACCTAGGGCTATAAAAATTTTGCCAAATGCTTACTGCATCTCTACTTTGCAAATTGTTAATACCATTGCTGATTTGAACCAGAGGGAGGTTTTTTGTTTCTTTTTAAATAGTGTTTTTAAAATGCTGTCTTTTTTCCCCCTCATCCCAGAAATAAAAATGACCCTCCTGATAGCCCAATCCTTTCATCTCTCTCCATTCTCTTCTGCTACCACCAAGGAACAGCTGTAAAAGGGTCATTTTTAATCACCATGGTGAGGATTCCAAGAACCATTCTCATGTACATTCACAACACCCTGAAAGACAAGGTAAGGCAGCACCTTACTACAAAGTTAATCACTGGAAAGCTCCAGCAGGTCCCAGGACAGGAATGTGACCTGGGACAGTGAGTGTTCTTTAGGTCCCACCCCCCACCCCACCCCCGCCTCTAGCAAACTTTTTGTTCCTGGTCCATTTTGTTTATGGTTTTGTGTGTTCGTTTTTCCACCCACAGGTGGTAGAGGAGGGAGTAGTTCTGAGTTAGGTGGTTTCCTTCTTATTTAAATGCTGAGCAAATGGTAGGAATTCTTCAGAGGAAATTTAAACAAGCTTTTGTGAACAGTTAGATGCTTTTTTTTTAAAGTAAGAAAATACACTATAATATTTGTATTTTAATGCTAAAATATTCTCTGCCTTTTGCATTTTCTAGAGGTGCCATGGGAAGTTACTGGGGTGTGTGTGTGTGTGTGTGTGTGTGTGTGAGAGAGAGTGGGGGGGAGAGAGCATAAGAGAGAGAGAGAGAGAGCATAAGAGTGGGAGAGAGAGAGCATAAGAGAGAGAGAGAGAGAGAGAGAGAGAGAGAGAGAGAGAGAATAAGAGAGAGAGAGAGAGAATAAGAGAGGGAGAGCATGAGTGAGAGAGAGCAGTCTTAGCGATGAGAAATGAATGGGCAAGATGACCTAAATCTCAGCTCAAAAGACAGAAAACTGTAGGGCTTTTGTGCCTGGGGTTTTTCTCCTCCCTGGTTTTTATTTCCATGCACATTTGGTTATGAATGCCAGTGGAAACCAACACACCAGGAAAACAGCTGTTCTCATGGTGTTTCTGGCCCTCCAAACAAGGGAGGGTTGGCCTTTTCCCAGCTTCTCTGTTCTCACACAACTCTAATCTCTCCCCCATCCCCACCTAAGCTTCAGTGACTTGGTCAGTTTCACAAATTTACCTGACACTCACCTTTTGGGTATAGGTATGTGTGCTTAGTAAACTGGGGAAATTTTACGTGTAGATTCCTTATTATATTTTAGAATTGTTTTTATTTGCTTTTTAAAGCAGACATCTGAATTGTTGGTATTTTTAAGTCCATAATCAAGGTTTGAGATTAGTATATCAATTAGGAACAGTTGATTGAATTTCACATAAAGTTATCCAGTGTTTTTATCTTGAAGTGCATGTGGAGCAGTTGCCTCGATCATACAGTATTTTCTTGTATTTTTATTGAAATATGTCATTGCAGATACTAGTTGTGTGCCCCAGTAAAAAAAGAATCAAGTTTAACTTTTTTTGGAAATAAATTCTATAGTGAGACTTTCAGGGCTAAATTAGTCTAAATTTATCCTTTTCAGGGCTGAATTTCAAGGGATGAAAAAAATACATTTATTTTGGTGACTTGAAGAGGCATTTCCACATCCAGGCCAAATCTAGCCACTCTGGCTCCTGCATTTTGAAATTGATCCTTCAATTTTAGAACTTGGAGAACGATTTCTTGAAGAACAGAACAGCTTTTTAGTGTGTGTGTGTGTTTGTATGCCCTCCTATGTCTTTCAGCTGATTTAATATTTAAAATAGACATGAGACAGATTAATAAGAGAAAAATGACCAAATTTAACTACATACGTATGTATGAAAAGCCCACATACACGAGAGCCTCAGAGGCAGAGAGGGAAAATGAGGGAGCATATGATATTCTGAGCTAAGGATGAGGTAAGGCACCTTGGGGCTTCAGAGGGGACAGTTCACAGGACGATAAAAAGAGCAGGTGTTTCGTAATTACAAGTTTGATGTGCCCTACAAATACGTCATAAAATATTATTTCTGGTGATAACTCTTATTATGGGCAAGGCCCCTAATTTAAATTCTTTAAGGGAGAGGTAAATGTTCTTTGTGAATCCACAGGGTCTCGATTGCCTTCAGCTCCAAATAATCGCATGCCAAAGTGGCACGTTATGGGGAGGGCTATTCTGAGTGTGTGTTTGTGTGTGTGTGTGTGTGTGTGTGTGTGTGTGTGTGTGTGTGTGTGTGTACAAATATAAAGATAGAGATATAGAGAGATATATAGGCATTAGTAATAGATAATCATAAATTAATGAGCAGTAGGGGACCTTGCTACCCCTCCCCAAGTTAGGTCTTAAACTCTGGGAAAACAGCCTTTCATAAATCTAAAAGAGAAGTCATTGTGTTGGTCTCTCTGGCAGAGGTCTAAAAGGTTGTTCATCACTCCCCAGATTGCATAAGGACCAAGGGGCCAAACTCCCTTTTAGTGATGTCACAGTTGGAGAAATGTGCCCTTTCTTAGTTAGGTTAAAAAGAAATGATCTTCCTCAGCAGCCTTGCAGCCCTGTACTGTGTCTACAATTTAAACATTTTACACAGCGATTGTGTGATCTTTCCTGTGTTAAATGGCTCATTCACAACCACAGCCACACTAAAAAGTATCCAGATCAAGTTTCATCCAATTGAATTAACACTGGGACAAGAAAATGTCCATATAAGGCTGAGTTATTCCTGGGGTCCTCATATAGGACTATTTCAGGATTATTTTCAGGTTTTTTTTTTTTTTTTTACTTTGGGCCCTGGGTAAGACGCATTCGGTCACCCACTCCTTCAAGAGTGTCTTCATTTACTCGAGTTATACACAAGTCCAAGTTATATTTCAAAGGACTAATTTATTCCTTGAAATTTAGCCCTGAAATCACACTCTAGGATATATTTCCAAAAACGTTAAACTTGATTCTTTTTTAACGTGGGCACATAACTAGTATGTACAAAACATTATTTGTTTGGTTGTTGTTGTTTTTTTGTCTTTGGGGTGTGAATTTTTCATGAATATAAGCTGTTTGAAGAAGCAAAGTGTATAGTTGAAGACACTGAACGAGAGATGAGGGAAGAGAGGTTTTTTTTTTACTAGAACTAGAAGGCCTACTTTTTGCCTTCACTAACAAATATGGACAAACTCATTTCCCTTTCTGCTGAGGTCAACAGCAGTCATAACAGGTAAGCCCACTAGAAAGAAACTTTGCTCATCAGTAATAACAATAGTAATTAGTAGTAGTAGTAGCATGTGCACAGTAGAAGAATTTCTCCAATACTGAATGAGTGCTGTTACAGCGCTTCCCCAGGCATAAGTTCCCAGGTAGACACAGTGTGTGTCCACAGAAGCTGTTCCTTTCTTCCTTCCTGTGTTGTTTCTGACTCTGTTCCTTTGGTTCTGAAACTGATCCCAGCAGCGGAGCGCATTGGCGAGGAGCATGTTCAGATGTTGCTTCTGCTGTTTCTGCTGTCTTGACAGATGCCTGCGCCATCTCAACCAGGTAAGGCTCCCACGTGCCCCAGGGACACACAGAGGGGCCACGGGTTGGGCTCTGTATCTTAGGTCAGGGATTGGCAAATTCTTTCGGTAAAAGCAGAGATTGTGTAAATATTTTAGGCTTTTGGGACATTCAGTCTTGGTCAAAACTACTTAACCCTGCCATGGTAGTAGGAAAGTAGCCATAGACAAAATGTAAATGATTGGGTGTGACTGTGTGCCAATAAAGCTTTATTTACAGACACTGAGATTCAAATTTCATATAATTTTCATGTGTCAAGAAATCGTCTTTTGATTTTTTTTCAACCATTTAAAAAAACGTGAAAATTATTCTTAGCTCTGGCCAGGGGAAAGCAGGCTGTCTGCTGGATCTGGCCCCTGGGCTGGAGTTTGCAGACCTTTAGGTTGTTGAAGTCATTCTTCAAATCTAAAAGAACTGTGTTTCTTTTCAGAAATAAAGAGGGGAGGAGGCTTTAAAAACCCTGACATAATGAATATAGTATATCAACTGAGAGCTAATTTTCAGTGTCTTCTCTGAGAACTGTAATTTTCCTGAAATAGGAAAAGAATCACTTCCCTAATTTTTATATATTTCACCAGCCTTTCTCATTCATGCTATAAATATTCCTTTAAAAAATTACATACTGTGATTGTTTGGATTTTGATTTTTTTCTCTCCTGAGTCTTTCAAATTGATGGAAATTTAAATATATATTTTATATTTCTGTAGATAATTTAGGAGATTTTAATAGCCCTCAGTCAAATTTACACAAAGTAATATTTAAGTTGTATTAAGAATACCTTTCATTGCTCAGAAAGTGTAGTCTTCTTATAGTAAAGCTCTATTTTTAAGCCTCATCTTAAGAACCTTGGAGTGCATTTAAGAGTGTATTTAGTTTTCATTTGGATTGCTCCAAACCTTTCAGAATGGCGGTTCATATAGCAAGTCAAGCCAGACTCTATGTCATGGTGTAATATGCCAGCCTCTCTCTCTTCCTAGAACTGTGTGCACATATCCAGACACCACCTTATTCCACAAAGATCTTGAGATACATTACAAAAATGTGCTAACTGTGATAACATGAACATCAAGGCTAAGAAACATATAAATAGACTAGAAAGACAAAAGCATAGACAAATATGTTGATCACATGGTCCTGCAAGTTGCTGTCACTTCTCACTTCATTGTGTAAATTGAGGTTCTTTCCATGTCACTCTTTCACTCAGAGCTTTCAAACTGCCCCATGGAATCCTTGTGGATGCAGAGTCCACCACTTCAGGAAGGAAGAGAAGTGGGTGAGGAGGAGGAGGGTGGGCTCTGGCCCTGAACCACCACCACCCTACTCTGCCTTCCCACCAGAGCAGCTCCACTTTTATCTAGTTTAAGAGTGGGATTCCACTGAAGATTTCATTCAAACACAGGACTCAGATGCTATAACACATTTCAATACCTCTGTCTCATGCCATGTTCAAGTTTGTTTTCTCTTCCCTGTTATCCTGTGGGACATATCTCATTCTGAAATTTCATCACCTTATATTAACCTAGCACCTTTTCCCTTGGGAGTTCAAAATGTTTCCAAGATCATAAGTAGCTTAGTATTAACCACACTATAATTGCCATTGTAAAGGTGAGGAATCTTTATAACATGTACAATGGGGCATGACTGTCCTTGAATCACAAAAAGGCTCAGCTAGCCTTCATCCAGCTCATAGTGAATCAGTGTTGCAAACAGGGATCGGTCCTTTGGATTCTGATCATAGTCCATTGACCTTATCGATGGAATGGTGGCTGCCACCAATTCAATGCCAACAGGACCCCAGCCTGGGATGCAACAAAAGAAGAGACTTTATTCAGGCGAACA